GTACCAAAAAATACTGTTCCAAAAAAACATCAGGCATTATTTATTACACTATGTTACCGAGACATCTTGATTTGGGTAACATTTCACGTTTTCACATGGAGAAGCATGCCGATACTTTCAAAACATATCACACTCTTTGCTTGAACAGATTTATAGTGTACTGAATAAATGCGTATGATAGAATAGACACTCAATGACTAGCAAAAACCAAAAAATACAAATAATGTTGACAAACCAAAATATAATGTATATATTACCTATGGGGTGGTCTAAGAAGGTTAAGGGCCTTAAACTTTTCCTTAACCTGTCCCAAGCCTGGGAAAAGGAGGTGGGTTGTGTTATGTAGGCAGCCAATGTAAAAATTTGCCAAAACTTTTCATGAATCCTGAATCTACATTATCTGCTTATGCTAGCCCGTTCCCCATAAGTGACGTGCTGTACCGGAAGCTAGACACAGTGAGAAATGAGCAAGGGTTAGCTAGGGCATTTTCCAAAAGCGACAAGCCGCAACGCCACCTAGGTGCGGTGAAAAATAGGTAAGGGTTCCCGTGACATTCTGGACAAGTGCAGGTAAAGAAGCTAGTCCAAGAGAATAGGATTCACCTAGTCACATGGAATGTAGGAACACTTACAAGGTAAAGAGTGGATTTCGTGGATATAATAAGACGAAGGAGAATAAACATAGCTTGTCTACAGGAAACTAAATGGAAGGAAAAAAAACTAAGGAAATAGATGAGTATAAACTTTGCTATAGATGCAAGTATAATAATAGAAATGGCGCAAGTACAATAGAAGGCAAAGTTTTAAAAGATACAATAATTAATTTCAAGAGAGTAGGTGATAGACTTCTAGTAATTAAATTTGAATTAGGAAAAGAGATAATTAACGTAAATAGTACTTATTCACCACAAGTAGGACTAGAGGATATTATTAAAAGACAATTATGGGAGGACATGGATGGATTAGTTCAAGACATACCAAATAGAGAGAAGACCTTTTTAGGAGGGGACTTAAATGGTCACACAGGGAAGGACAGTAGAGGATTTGAACGGATACATAGGGGATATGGGTTTGGTGAAAGAAATGAGATGGGTGAGGCTATTTTAGATTTTTTTATGGCCTAGGACCTAGCAATAGTAAACACTTACTTTACAAAGTGAGAGGAATATTTAATAACTTATAAAAGTGGATCACATAAACGCTAAATAGATCTATTCATAGTTAAGAAGGTAGATCGATCATCATGTAAAGAGGGAGAGTTTGACTACATAGCATAGGCTCGGAGTTATGGATGTCTGCATAAAGAGATGGAAGACAAGGGGTGAAATTAATAAGTGTCCAAGAACTAGGTTTTAAAATTTTAAAAATGATAAGATAGACTTATTTAAGGATAAATTAGTTGAAGAAAGACAATAGAACACTGACTACGATATCGATGTTAGGTGAAATGAGATTGCTGACTGTATTAAAAAAGTTTTAAGAGAAACTAGAGGACAAAGAAATACTGATAAATAGTAAGGCTAAACTTAACGCACATAATAATCTATACAGTAAATTGGGAACTAGAAAAAGTGAAAAGATGTCTTCAAATTAGTAAAAATGAGAGAAAAAAAAAGAATCTAGACCATATTAAATGCATTAAGAGTGATGATCAAAGGGTCTTGGTGAGGGATGAAGAGGTCAATGAAAAGTGGAGAGCTTATTTTCAGAAATTATTAAAATGACTAATACAATGGGAACACAGCGGCAGAAGGAACCATTGGCAAAAATGAGGACGGAGGTCATATATATATTCATAGAATTACGATATTGGAAGTGAAAGAAGCTTTGAAGAGGATGCAAATAGGAAAGGCTTAAGGACTAGGTGTATCCTGATAAAGGTTTGTAAGTGCATGGGGACATCGGCATTGACTGGCTGACCAAGTTATTCAACAAGGTGTTGAGAACAAAGAAAATGCTAGACGAATGGAGGAAAAGTACTGTGTACCTATTTACAAGAACAAAGGAGACATACAAATTTTTGCGAACTATCAAGGGATCAAACTTATGAACCACACTATGCAGCAGAGTACCTCAAGATTTAATTTGGTGGGTGTTGGATAATAAAAGAGTCTCCAAAGACTATATCGACTTGGTGAGAGATATGTACAAGGGAGCGTTGACTAGTGTGCGAACTAGTGGAAAGACGAGTGAGATTTCGATAACAATAAGTTTATATCATGGGTCAACATTGAGCCGGATGACTTAACTAAGCACCTACAAGATGACATACCGTGGTGTATGTTGTTCACAGATGGTATAGTTTTAATTAATGAGACCTGAAGCAACATCAACACAAAGAACTTTGGAAGGATACACTAGATCCTAAAGGTTTTAAAATTGGACACAGTTTGTATGAGTCCATGTAAAAATGAGTCACCTCTTACAAATCTATTTTTGAGATGGATTTTTAGACCTAATTTTTAAAGACATGTAATCTCTAACATGGAGAGCATGCATATGAAAAAAATAAAGAAATTTTGAAAATTAAAAATAATAATTCTATTAAGAAAACATTTGGACTGTTAGTTGCAATTGTTTTTAGATGGACCGCCTATTTGCATCCATCTTTAAGATGGATTCTTTATACCTCGGGGACCGCAAATGTAGAAATGCGATCCCCACCGCATGAAACAAATTTCTTTTAAAATTAACCGGACTAAGGCATAGTAATGGAATGCAAGTTTAGTAATAATAGCAGTAGAGGTGCGGAAGTAATTAACATTGATGGCCAAGAAATACGAAAAAAGAACACACTTTCGATATCTTGGGTCGATAATCTAAGAAAATAATGAGATGGACGAAGACGTCACGCATAGAATTAAAATTGGGTAGACAAAGTGGAGATGTGCAACCGGAGTTTTATGTAATCGCCGCATACCAATAAAGTTAAAGGGAAAACTCTATAGGAAAATTGTGAGACTAGCTTTGCTTTATGCGGTAGAATGTTGGGCGGTCAGGAAACAACATACCCATTGGATGAATGTAGTTGAGATGAAGATGCTAAGATGGATGAGTGGCAAGACAAGAAGGGATAGAATTTGAAATGAATACATTGAGAGAACTTAGGTGTAGCTCCAATAGGCGATAAGATGAGAGACATAGAGTATGACACATGTAGGAGGTATGAATCGGTTCAAGTGGAAGGCTAAAAAAGGGTAAGGGGTAAGCCCAAAAGGATATGGTTGGAAGTAGCGAGAAAAGATACGAGGGTTTATGACCTCACTGAGGATATGACCCTTGATAGAGTAAAATGGCGTACTAGAATTCGTGTAGCCGACCCCAAATAGTTGAGAAAAGGCTATGATGATAATGATGATGATATTACCTATGGGGCCCAAGTCACCTATCATGACTAGTTTACTCATATAGAATAGCTATCCTCGCATTTATGGGGGGTGGTAAATTGGAACATGGGGCTGCAAGCCTTAGTAAGCTATAATATTATATTTATTATTATAACGGAAGTTAACCCTTTCCATTTCAATGTAAATGATACACTATAGTTTTGTATAATATATAATTCAAAAGTCAAGATAAACAATCAATATTCAGATTAATGTCATAACTAAAGTATGATATTATTTATTGCAGGTAATTCTCTTTATGATAGTTTTATGTTCTATCTTTATAAGGTGTTTTACAATGTATCAACGATTTTTATTTGTTTACTAAATTATTAATATTATCTATTTTTAATTTACTTGGGCAAACATGCCTACTTGTGCCTTAATTTTCAGGCAACATATATGAAACTTATACAAGTGTCAGAAACATACACCTGTGTCCTTGTCTGCATAACATACACTCAGTAAATTTCAGAATAATAGCTAGTCATACTTACCAAGGTTTAGACCAAAGCTACATTTTCAACACCAGTAATCCTTAAAATTATGAAATCTTTGCCGTATATTATGTAATAAGCATAAAGAACCATCCTCAGATTTCAGATTATCTGTGTAAACCACCATTCTAGATCTCTCTTTTATCAAAAAGTCACAGTGCCACGCTAAATTTACGATTCTCTTCATGAGAAGTCTTCTAGCTACGGTTATCTGCCAATTCAATAAGGAACTCATACCATAACTCAATATCGTGCTATTTCAATATAGAAGCAAAGGAATATTAAAAGCAAATGAATAATACCTTGCATATTATTACATTTACCCAGACGAAAAGAAGAACTAGAGAACACCATACCACCAAAAAATTTCATTCAGTACTCAAGCCATTGCATAATTTGACTCAAATATCATTCCAACACATTGCTATCATTCGAACGCATTGCACATGTAAAAGAACTCTGTAAAGAACATGAAAACACCTTGCAAAACTAACTCCAAAGAAGAAATAAATTCAGATAAAATACCAATTTGAGAAAAATTAGAAAATGATGTCTCAATCAAAATAAAAGCAAAATATAAATCACCACCAAAACCCTTAATTTAGCTCCAACTATAGTACCTGTTGAAGAAGCGCAATCCTCTGATTAGAAGCCGCCATGACCACTGCACAGAATGGAAACTTCGAAGCCCTCAAACTGTTACTCATCTTGAAACCTTCACTTGACCTAACACTCCCACCCCAACAAACAAAATTCTCATTCAAAAACTCTACAACAGGCTGAGCACACAAGGTATCACGGCAAAAAGCTGAAGTATCAGGGTGATCAGGAGAGTGCAAATACACAAACAACAGCTTGAAAGCCTCTCTAGACCTTCCTAATGATTCCATGAACCCAAGAACTGCGAAATTAGGGTGAAATTCCCCATATTCACTCTCAAAACCATCGATGAATGCTCGAGCTTCTACTGCACCAGAAGAAAGAGAAACAAATGAAGAATTCTCCTCACCTCTCTCATTCCCTTGACTCCCCAAAGCCCATCGAAGAGCCCCTATCGAGTACGAGAAAGCCCCGCCTGCTGCCCATAAACCAAACCCAATTGCCCCTGAAATTAATCCTAAACTCCCTCTGATCAGAGAAAATGGAAGCTTTACGACCTTCCATACAATACCAGGAGAATTAGGATATGGAACAAACTCTTCTTCTCCATGATTGGAAACCCTAGTTTCACCCCTGAATCCCAGCTCTGCAAACCCTAATTCTGAGGGCCCGCCATCCAAACCAGAGGAAGTAACAGAGGGCTCAGAGGTAGAAGTAAATGAAGAGACAGCGAGTTCAAGATCCCAGCCATGGGCTTCAAGGATCTCTTGACATAGAGCGAGGTCCTCAACCCCTGTAATCGCTTGGAAATAGGTTACTTTATCGTCAATTCCAGGATCCACCATTTCTGACTGGAATAAAGTACTCGAAAGCTTAATCAGAAACCCTAACCGGGGGACAACAGAACCAGTTCGTAAGGTTCAAAGGAAAGTAGAGAGGAACAGAATGATAAACCCTAAAGTGAAGGATCTCTCCATATACGTGAGAAATAGGGTTACCTTGTTGGCAATCCCACAGACTTGGCTTACTGCTCGAGCGAAAACGAACTGGAGCAAAAAGCGATACTCCTGAAATCAATCCAGACTTTGTAGAGAGAGAGAACTTTTCCTGCAGCTTGAGAGAGATATCCAAAAGGTGCACGATTCTACAGGCGATCGTAATAAAAGCAGCTGTGTTTCTTACCGAAAAAATGCAAAAAGCACGTATAGTACGCTCCCCCGGGATCGTACTGTGCAAATAATCACACTTTTTAGCAATGGTGTACGCATAGAGCGTACAGGCGGCAATGGAACTGGACCGACCCGGGACCCGGCGGGAATACCCGACACTGGTCCGCGTATGGGTCCAATATTTGGACCTACGGGTCGGGTTGGGTCCAAAACCTGGATCCAAATACTATTCGGCCATATTCATTTGGGTGTATTAAGGATCATATAGAATAAGAATCCGTAGTCATCTTTAGCTATTAAAGAGCAAATTAGATGGGTTGAAATTTAAGAGGGGTAATTTTGACCTTGTTACCACTAATATAGGTACATGATGGAAAAAAAAAAATAAAAATAAAATAAAAGAGGCTCATAACGACAATAGCAATGGACCCAACCAAACTCATATAGGTATGGACTTTTAGACCCGATAGGTCGGGATCGAGTTCAAAACCTAGACCCGAATTCCAGGTCCGGCCAGACCGAACCTATTGCCACCCCTAATACAACACTCTCGGGAGATCATACTATGCAAAAGAGTTGGGACAATTTTCTCTAGAAGTTAGGGATGATCAACGCTAGATCCACAATGGATGACGTTTTTATGAGAGCTAGGTTTTATAAAAACAAAATATATTTTCACCTCAAATCCTTGTCAAGAGAACACTTTCGGTAACGAAAATCTCCACGATGGATCTAAAATCAATTTGCGACACTTACAATAAGATTAGAAATTCAAAAAATGGTACAAATCTTGCATATCCATAAAATCATTTTTAGAGGGAAATGGATGGCCTAGATAATTGATTATAATATACATAATTTTTAGAGCTTAAAATGTTAATTTTTTTCACAACCATAATGCTCACACCAAGATGACCAATTTAAAGGTTTTTCATACTTAAACTGTAATATTTTATGATTACAAGGTGATGCTTTACTTATTTTGATTTGATAGGGCTGCAGCCCTATCAAACCATTTTCCTTCTAAAAATACTTCTAAATACAGAGTTTTAAAATTTATGATCCGGATTGGGAATGCCCATCCCGATTGAGACTTGTCCACGAACCAACAAATGAAAAATGCTCTAGATATCTTTTTACACAAGTGTCAAGTAGTGAAACCCCAGCATGCTCTTTATTTTACAAGCGAGCTGTATATGATACTAATTTTTTAGATTTTGTTTTTTAATATTTTCTCAGATAAGTCAATCGCGCCCCATCCGGATTATTGATCTTGCGATCAAACATGGGAACTTACCTATTCATTTTTTCAAACACTCTTTTTCCAATGGAAGCAAGTAACTTACAAAATACAAAATCTAAATGATTGTGCGCCTACTTAGGCTAAAAACAAGACCCCATATTCTAGGATGTAACATCGTTGTGGGGAACAATTTTAGAAAAATTGGAAAAACTACCATTTATGGGGGATCAAAGTCCTTAAAAAATTATTAAGGGTTCTATTTAATTTTCATTTGACTTAGGTATCTTTTCAAAAATGCCCAAATTGCAATATTTGGATGAGGGACCGTCAACAAGTAATGACATTTCAATAATTTTATCCACTTAAGAGGCCCCAAATGACAGTACCCCTGCTTATTTAGGTGGATCAATTTACTAAAATGCCCCATGAATATTCAAAGGGCAATTTAAATATTATGAAACTATTTTTTAAGGAGTTATTTGAGTAAAATGAAAATTTAAAAAGTAAACTCTCTTATGGCAATTGTACTTGAGTAAAATAAAAATTAAAGTGTAACCTCTTTAATGTTAATCGGGACTTTTTTACTTCTTGTAATAATTTGGTCAGGACTTTTGACCTTTAATTGACATTTTTCCAAAAGTAAAAAAAAAGAAATTATCACAAATATACCTTAATCTTTGTCTATTTAGAAAACTAATCCATTTTATACGATATTTTAAGTACCATAAAAACTAACCCATATTATACGGTATTTTAAGTACCATAAAAACTAATCAATGTTATACGACACTCAAAATGTGGTAAACCCTCTTCTCCTGTTCACATTTATCTCTTTCATCTCTCTAATTTTGTTTTTTTTTTATTGTTCATCTCTTTTTTCTTTCTAATATTTATCTCTTCTTTCTCTCTATAAATCTTTTCTTCACTAACTCTCTTTCTCTCTCTCTACTTACTTACTTCATCAACTCAACAAACATGATTCTAACGCGATACAAATCTGACTCCGCCTAATTTTCATTCGTAAGGTACGCATAGGTTGTTTTACAAATCTCCTTGGAGAGAGAAAGAGAGTTAGTGAGATAAAGAAGAGTTAATGATAGAAATAAGAGATAAATATTAAAAAGAATTAGAGAAAAAAATAAGAGATAAACATAAAAAGAATTAAAGAGATAAATAGATAAATATAAACATGATGAAAGAGATAAATATAAACAGTAGAAATGAGTTTACAACATTTTGAGTGCCGTATAACATGGGTTAGTTTTTATTGTACTTAAAATACCGTATTACATGGGTTAGTTTTTAGAGAAAGTTACTAAAACCCCCCTAGAATGTACTCTATAGGCATTCTACCCCTACCCCAAACTTTTCTCACTTCTTTTTATAAAAAACCAACTTTTATAACTAAAACCCCCATAATTAAAAAAGTTGTAATTTTTTTGACGAAACTACCCCATCCCGTACCTTCACTTTATGAACGACGGACTCCAATAATACATTCGCCCGACCACGATACTAATTTGCCAAACTCATCACATATGTCAGTCTGATTTACTACAATACTGGATTGCTTATTTAGATAGTGATACGTCGGATTGTAGATAACTAACGCCGGACCCAGACAATGAATTGCCGGACTTCCTACTCCAGTTAACAAACCACCGGAGCGTAGCTCTACAACGCCGGAGTTCTTCTTTAACAGTATCAAAAATGCCAAACCAAGCACACTAAATGGTGGAATGATCGAGAAAACCACTAGATTGATGCTATAAAAAATCGGACCGATGATCTCAGTAAATAATCGTCGGAGTACAATACATAAAAGCCGGACTGTTCGATGATATCGTCGGACTGGTCATAACTAAAGCCGGACTGACCTTTGCTAGAATGAACATCACCGAGCTGCTGCGTGATTGTGACGGGGTGCCATGAATCCAGTAAGATAATCGTCAGACTCTAGCGGTGCCTGTGCCGGAATGCTTAAGAGTTGCCGGACTTCCGCGTGACTTTGCCGGACGGCAATCCATCCACCAAATCGCCGAACTGCCACGGTTAGAGTGTCGGAGTGGCGATGAATCCAGGAAAAATATCACCGGACTACTGCATGATTGTGCCGGTGTGGCAATGAAGCCAATCGCCGGACCCACCCCTACGGCATCCTTGCAAGAGTTTCCATGCTTTGCCGGACTGCTGCGTGACTCTGCTAGAGTGCCATGACTCCAGGAAACGAATCGCCAAATTGCCGCAGTTACAGTGCCGGAGTGCCAATGAAGCCAGTAACGAGACCGCCTGACTGGGGCATGAATGTGCCGGAGTACCAGGAAGCAAATTGTCGGACTGCAATGGTGAGTGTGCCGAAGCCCCCAGAAGCCTAGGAAACAAATCGACGGACCCCTGCGGTGACAGTGTCGGAGTGCCGACAATCTGCCGGACTGACGTGTGACTCTGTTGGAGTGCCATGAGTCCAGGAACCAAATCGCTGGATTGCCATGGTATGTGTGCCGGAGTGCCCATAAGTCCAGGAACCAAATCGCCAGATTGCCATGGTGCATGTGCCGGAGTGCCCATAATTATAGGAATCAAATCACCGGACCGCTATGCATGAATTGCCGGAACGCTCTTCATGGAGTGTTGATGAGTATGCTGGAGCGCCTTCAGGAAGTGCCGGAGTGCTATGAATGGTGGTCCAAACTCTTTGTGTTGGGCAATGAATGATCATCTTTATTAGCAAATCTGTGGTCCAACCTCTTTTTGTTGATCAAATTACTACGACTAATTATTAAGACAATAAATGATTATCAACCATCAAATGAATTTCAAATCCATTGAGACTGTTTGCTGATTATCAACCACCATATTTTCCATCATCTTAAATTATCAACCACCATATTTTCTCAATCTTTTCAAACTCATGGCGTATGCTTGACCAAGGTTCAAAACAGGAACTACATTGATAAACAATACATTGAGCTGTTTGCAGATATCATTTGAAAGGATATTGATATTAGATTTTGCTTCTTAACATAACGACAATAGAAAGAATGAACATTTCATTAACTGGCTATTATGATATAGTAGCTTCAATTGTATAAAAATGACTTAACATATGTCTCAAAAAAAGAAAATGAACGTAACATATGTCTCAAAAAAAGGTTTATAACCTTTTAAATTTACATTTTCATGTGTTATCTAAAATGCACATGTCAAAATGAAAAATACATGATATTCCCTTTCTTGGCCTCAACCATTTTTTGGGCCAACTTGCAATACCCTTGCCCTTATCATTTCTGCTCTTTGTTCTCCTCTCATTTTCCTCATCAGTCTTGCTCTCTCTTTCCTCATCTCCACCATCTGCATCCTCAGTCTCTCTTTTCTCATCTCCACCATCTTTCTCCTCAATTTTGCTTTCCTTATCTCTATTTTCTTCTTCCTCGCTTTCACTTTTGTCATCTCCACCATCTCTCTCGTCGCCCTCGCTTTCACTATCTCCCTCCACAATCTCCTCGACATTCTCTACAGGAGTGTGCTATAATAACAAATCGTGGGTCGTTTGTACATAATTTCTGGATTCCCCTGCTAATACTTCAACATGAAGTGCAGCTTGTAACATCCCTATATAGGTTAATCGCTGCAAGTAGACAATAAAAAATAATATAAATAACTGATTTGAATAGATAATTATTTTAAGTCAATGAAAACTAAAATGTATAATATAACATCTCATCTCGTCATCATGGCCTGCG